AGATGCGTTTCCTCTTGAAGCCTCCTGCCTGGAGCCATGTTAGGAGGGAGGGAGCTTATTCAAATGGGTTTCTGTTGTTTAAGGCTTGGTTTGAGGGAATTCTAGGGGTTGAGTCCCCATTCTTTTCAGCCATCGTTCTTTTCAAAAACCGATCGCCATTTTTCAGGGTGTTTGGTGGCTTAGATTCAGATCCCTGGAAAGAATGGAACTGGAAGTTTCCCCTAGAATTGCCAGAATCAAAACCCGGTATTAAAAAACGGGTCGATCCCCGGAACCTGGGGATCTGAGGGCGGGTGTAATTCAAACGGTAAGCTTTGGGCGGAGGATCTGAGGGCAGCCCAGAGGGAATCACATTCCCAGCTGCTCGGGAGACCCACAGGCAACTCGCCGGCATGGCACGGCTTTAATGATCTGCGGGGTGCTCAGACCAGACGGGCAGCCGGGCTTTTTGCGGTGACCCTTTGGCATTTGACTGTGGGTCAACACCAATGGGATCCCATTTTGGGATAGGTGCACCACCCACTTTGGAACCTATTTTGGTGGGGAGTGGGATGTTCACTGGGGGTACGGGGTTTTGACCCATGGTCATTTGTCATTGGGGGTGGAGTTGGATACCCTCCCACTCCTCCCACCAACATGGAACTTAGCAGATTCCTGGAAGACTATGTTCATCTAAAAGTCATGTACATGTTACATGTTACTGGTGGCCAAGTAGAGAATGCAATCGAATACAATACATACATGCAATGACATTGCCTAACTCCAATCTTTGTCATGTTCTGTCATGAGCCAGCTCTAAGCCAGCACCAATCCGCAGGTTGCCCCAGCCCGGCAAGTGCCCTGCATCACTCCCCCAAGATGAGATGAGGAGATGCCTCACAAGCTACGTGGGGCTGCTTTGGGGTCGGCCCAAAGGCGAATAGAGGAAACCCACCGATTTGGAGACGAACCGGGCGCATTCTCAGCTCCCATTGTTCGCTTGCTGCCCGTGATTGGCAATTTCTAGCGACCGTCAACCGCCTGCAAAAAGAGTGCCCGAGGCGGAGTTCCCTCGGGTACAATAGGGTACATGGCAAGTGGCCACAAAATGTTGGACACATCAGCCGGCAAGACAAATGGTCAAAGGTGAGAATGGCAGGTGGCCAAGCCAAATATGATTGTTCCGTTTGTTCCTGTGTTGATGGCTGTAGTTGCGCTATATGCCTGGTGGCAAATGCCATGCGAGTTTCCGTGGGGTGGGCTGAATGTTGACGGTGAGTATTCTTGCCCATGGACTGCTGTCTACCAAAGGGGAGCGGCCTGCAACGTGCCATGTCTATCGAGACCGCCCGGCTGCCGGCTTTACGCAGCTCAGATCCAAAGAAACGCGAGGCCCGGCCAAAAGCGATAGAGCTTTCTCTTTTTTTCTCGCCATGACTTGTACGTCCTGTACTGCTCCTACGGTGGTGCGCCCCGTAGTGAGGATTGACTCGCAGCTGGGCAGCACCGGCTCCTTTGGCTTTTCATGAAACTGGTCCTACCCCCGGACTTTGCTTGGCGAGATCTCAGATGTGGTTTTGGAGGATTTCTGCTGTTCGAACAGGTCTTCCTATATTTTGCATTTTTTGGACACTTGGATTTCTCTTGGTCAGATGATGCAAAGGGCCAACATACTGTGGATGGACGAAATCCTGCACCACCTAAGAATCCCTAGAATGATGATTCCCTTGTAAATGCCAACGAACAATGGTTTTCCATGGTTTCAAAGTGGTGCGAACGGATTTCGTCCATCTAGGGAACCCCTGTAAGGCCCTGGGCCAATGCCAGTGATGCTTCACATTTCGCCTGTCCTCAGTTGGGCTTGCGCTGGCCTTTTGGATGTGAAAGAGCAACCGCAATGGTCCGGCGGAAAGCCACAAAGAAATGATCGGTATGTTTGCTTTCCCACCGGGCCCACCATTTAACACTCGGATGTTTGAGATGTGTTGAAAGATGCTGGACACATGAAGTTCTTTGGGCATTTTTTTGGCGGCTACCCTTTGGACGGCCGCTTGCATTTGGCCAAACAGCCGCCGTATGTCATGCTTACAAGGCCGACGGGCAAGAGATCCACTCACACCATGCCTTCCCCCAAACGCAGTGGTGTTTGTGGATTATTGCACGCACATGCACAACTACAAGCGTGCCGCTTAATTCGTCGACGCACAAGTATGTAATTGTGCCAGCACACTGCGAACGCACATCTTAAACGTGTCTATTGTCGAACTGTGCCAAGAAATGTTCGTGTCGCACCCATTCAGTTGGGATATCAATGCTTGGGGCTCCCTGACCATGGACCATATTGTATAGGATTCTCTCTATCCACACCCATGTTTTTCAGGAGTTGCAAATATTGTTATCTCTCCTCTGTCTTTTTGACAAATCGTTCTCGCGCCGTGGCGTGCACGAAGATTTTTGTGCGCCGTAGGCGAGGCGCAAGGGGTCACATTCGCACGTGTCAGCTCGTTTGACACTGGAACAGTTGCAGGTTCCGATGGTATTTGCTTGAAGCGAAAGTTTCGATCATGGCGAAGTCATGAGGCAGACAGTTTGAGATGGCGGTTGACCACAACAACCTAGGATCCAGTTGTTGGCCTCCGATTTTGTCGGCAATCGTCGGGTTTCCCTTTGCCTGTTTTCACTACAAAACATCACCGGTGCGGAGTTTACTGCTAGGAAATGTGGGCCATTGACCAGGGTTCCATCAGGGTTCCTTGAAGGCTACCTCCAAAGAGCTTCAGCAATTCGGATCCAGGCGGTCTTGGGAGATCTGGCCTCCACATTTGGGTATGGGTCAAAATGGAAACATGGACTAAAACCTGCGGTCCATGTCCTTCGAAAGTCTGGACCCGTCTGGACCCCCATCCCCGAGGCTTCTGCAGGGGACCCGTTCTAAAGGGCGCTATACCCAGACATGAATTGACTTGATTATTGCTTTCCCAGCTGCCCCCCCCCCCCCCCCCCCTCACACGAAGGTTCAACGCACCGAAAATTGTAGAAGCCATCGCCGGAGAACTTATGCGCTCATCGAGTTGGCAGTCAGCCCCATAGCAGGTAGGGGGATAATGATCGTTTAACAGCACACATTCCCGAGATATTCACGGGTGAAGTAGGGACTGTGGTAGTTTGGTGAGAGTAGATGGCATGACCTTTCCCGTTTGGGTTGTACCATCAAGAGAAGCCAACAACAATTGATCCACAATCAAAATCCAGGTAGATGAAGGTTAGCAAGGGATAGTCCCAGCCATAAATAGCAGCGGCCGCCTTCTTAGTTAATTCTTTACATGGCTCTGGGTAGATCGTTTTAATACCGGGTTTGATTATGACTCAATTGACAGTCCACGACTTTGACGTGCAAATCCGCATCCATGGCTGCTGGTGATGCCTGTGCTGCTGCTGATGCTGGTGATGCCTCTGATGCTGGTGATGCCTCTAAACTGGTGATGCCTAAAAGTATCTAGTCAGAGTCAAGGCTGACAAACAGACATGCCAACCCCTTGAGAAGGCACGCTTATCTGGGGGAACCCGCAAAATCCAGAGGACGCGCGTCCAGACTTCCGAATCCTGGTGGTTTCATTTTGACCCATACCGCCAGGGATCAATAAAGCTGCTGGCCAACGGATCGCCTCCTGTTGGGTCGTTTCATGTTTATTGCCTGGCTCTTCCATGCCTTGCCCTCCCCAAACACCAAAACATAGAACCTGAAAAAGGGTCCACACAAAAGGCAACCGATTGATTCCGAATCCAGGCCAGAGCTGTCGCTCATGGAGTACTTTGGTCCAAAGGCCTGCGGCAAGGACCGGAAGAACGGACCTTGGACGTCGTGGACCTTGTGGAAGTTGGGATGTGTTGTTGGTCCGTCCCAGGCTGTTTTTTCCTTTCGGTTGTTTTTCGTGGACATGCACCCCTTCTGGTGATGCATGCCCATGTCCGTCCCAGGCTAACCTTTGGGAGTTTGAGTTGGGAACCGAGGGGGGTCGACCGTGGGTCGACCTCCATAGCGCGACCTGGTGAGTTTTTCAGTTCCTCCACGTGTGGAAGATGCCGGGCAGAAGGGCGAGTAGGCCTTACATGACCTTTACTAGAAGGTCGCAATGCACTCATTGCTCCAGTGTGCCAATTGGATTTGCAAAAACCGTCTTCGTGGCCTTTGGAAAAATGGTTTGGCCTGGCCTGAGCAACTTTGACGATAAATGAGAGAAACTCATTGGCATTCTTCAGTGCCTTCCGACGAAAGTTCCACTGCGAAAGTCTGAATTTGAGAGTCGGCGATAGTGGAAGAACATCGTCAGTTTCCGGAACTGTTCTGTGGGTTGAGGTGGCTGGGTACCAGGAGTTGCTTTGGAAAGCCAACGCCGGCCATACCATCGGAGCACAACAGAGCAGAACGCTGAGCTAGCCAGCCGCGCGTGGGCCCCAAGCTACTCTTCGCTGTGTCTGCGGTGGTCTCACGTAGCCTTCGAAGCCTTCAACCCCCCCCCCCCTCCCCAACCCCACGCGATGCGTAGCGGCTCTGCCAGATGGCGACCTGCGTTACCAGCCACAAAACCGGCGGGGTGTTGGTTTTGGATCACCCCTGTCAGCTTTGGAGGCTGGCATTGGTGCTTGCCTGTTTCGAATGTAGTGCTTGCATGTTTCGATTGCTGATGGTGGGAGGGCTGGGCTTCTTGAATCTTTGCTACTCGCCAGCGGTGTAAAGTCATTCTGCGCACGCTTCAGCATGAGTTTGACGTTTGGAAAGGTAGAGCCGCACAGCACCTGCTGCAACATTCCGTGTCCAAATGTTTGCTTACTGCGGAAACATGCCTAGGCCACCGTGCGCAGTGTCAGCGTCGGCCTGCCATATCACAACAACTCGCGAACGCATTCAGTCTACCTACTTTGATGGCGAGCTCACCTGGCAAAATGAGCTTACCATGATGAGCGTTTGGTTTAAAACAGCAAAATAGGAATTCCTCGGTAACGTTTGATGATGCTTCACCATGAGGTTGTTCACTGCTAAGGGTTCAGCCAGCTCTTTGCCGCAGCCTTTTCCCGCAGAGAGCGGAGTTTTCATACTTTCTGAGCGATATTCTATCAGTCGAATGAAGCAAGCTACTTGGCAGCATTGACACGCTGCGGACCAGGGCAATGGTGCACCTGGACATGCAACAAGTGGCCCCGCAGAAGCTGATTCCTTTGCAAACAGGGCTTCTAGGGTTACGTGTTAACCTACCGGGAGTGGCCGCGTGCTAATACATATAATGGCTTCTCACAAAAACTAGCGCTTTGCTTGGCTCCCCTGATGCATTGTTACAGTCAATTCGGCGTGGAGTTGGGAGTACGGTTTCGATGTGGAATTTGTTGTTCATCCACGGCTGGGTATCACAAGGATGCTGAAAGACTAAAGAGCAACAGCAGGAGGAACCACAAAAGCATGCCAGACTTAACAAGCACTTTGGCCTTTGCCCTTTGGAGTTTTCTTCACTGTCCCTGTTCACCAGCAACCAGTCTTCACTTGTTTGCCGGGATCAGCTTCGTTTGGCTTCCACAAAAACCAGCGCAATTGGTTGACCGTTGGATATCCCGAGGTCAATGTATTTTTGTTTCTGGCTGCCTCCACCATAGTGGAAGCGGCCAAAGTTCATACGCTGGACTCTGCCATTCGCCGCTCGGACTCAGAACGGATTCAATCCGGGAGCGGTTTGTGAAGACAGAGTTGGTCAAAACAAAAGGGTACTGAATATCACGTATGTGATTTGGAGATGTGGGTTTGTCTAGGACCCATCAGGTCAATGGCTGTTCCTTTGGTTGGCCTCCCTTGAAAACCCCCCGTACAGGTTTAATAATTTAAAGACGGGTCTCGTTTGGCTCCCTGGCAGGTTCTATCTACGTTGGTGCAGGGGGCCAGTCGGAGGTCTCCTACCGGCCTTCAGAAGAGGCCGGACGGTTTGTTCGTCTCGAGTTCAGTGGAAGTTGAGCCCAAACCTTATGGGGTTCTTAAGGGAGGGGGGTGTAAGGGGAGGGGGTAGTTAGAACCCCCTAAATACGTACAAGCTTCCCTAGCAATTCCTAGAGCTCCTTAGCCAACCCTAGCACTCCCTCCCTAAAAGATTCTTAGGCTCCCTTAAGCTCCCGCGCTTCCGCTTTGATTGTGGCTAGGTTGGGTTGGGACAAACGATGGCTTTACCCCCTCAGCTGCAAGCGCTGCTGGCCAACCCACAATTCAGCGTGAATGCAATTTGAAAGGGGAGGGCAAGGGAAGCTTGGGTAAACTCTGAAAATTGATTGGGAGGCTTGGGAGGCTTAGGGCGTGCTTGGGGAAGCTTAGGAAGCCTTGGGGAAGCTTGGGGAGCCTTAGGGAAGCTTGGGGAGCCTTAGGGAAGCTTAGGGAAGGGAACCTTGGGGAGCCTTAGGGAAGCCTGGGGAAGCCTCGAGAATAGGAATCGGACCAATCAGCTTAAGTTGGGTTGCATACAAAACGAACAAAGGACGGCGTGCTTTGCGAAGAGACTAGTGGATTCAGGATTTGAACCCTGGGTTTTCTGGGGCTCCCTAGTACACCCCCATTTATCCCCCTTCTTACACCCCCTCATAAAAACTTGTTTGATGGTTTTAAGTCATGTTGCTTTATGTATGGTGCTTGCTGCTTGGCGCAAAAAAAACATAGTGGAAGAATACGAGAAAACCAAATACAGCCAAGTACATGCCAGCGATCGTCCTTGCTATGTGTGTTCTCTAGGATGTTCGGAGTGGCACATCAGTCTGTCGGTGTTATTTGCCTAAGATATGCCACAAAGACAGAGATGGGTCACAGAAAGGCAAATAAAGAATAACTACATAGAAACTTCAAAGTATTCATAAATGCAGACAGAGAATAAGCATGCAAGACAGGACTCTCTCTTAGACAGGTTTTTGAACCGCCTGTTTTTCACCTCATCAAGGACATCTTGCCACACAAGATGAGCAAGGAAGGCATAAGAAATCCACAGGCAGGCAGTGGAAATATCATGCAAAACAATGATATTTTAAAATCTACACAAATCGAACTATGTGAGTGCCGTGAGAGATGAATGCTTCTTGGATTATGTCTTTCCCGGCAGTCAATGGTCAGGAATAATTGGTAATAAACTGATTCAGAGACAGTTATTTGTAGACTGCTTGACATTTGTCATGATAATTTCCTTGGCTACGACATAGCCGTGGATGAAGAAAGCGAAGCCCTGTCTCTCTCAATTCTCTCTCTCTCTCTCGCTCTCTCTTTGTTTCCATTATCATCCGTCATGTTCACCGATCAGGAAAGGTTACTCTTGACCACTTTTCATTTCAGATTGCAGATAAAACTATGCAACGGGGAAGGTAGTAGTATCTTAATACTTTCTTTCTACTAAACATCATTCAGTTCGACCTTTTTACTATCTGTAAAACTTTTACTCTTGGGCCAACATTACACAATTTGTTTCCAGGAAAGTTCAGCGCCACCATTCTCACCCCCCCCCCCCTATCTTGCTTCAGGGACTTGCGACCCGCAAAGGAAACAACCAGCAGCAAAATAGCTCGGCTAAGGCTGCTTCCCCTCTTGTTTGTGCTAGTGTCAACTTCGGATTAAGCTTGAGAACCACTTAAGTTGAGATTATTTGGCTCCTTTGGACCAATCCGAAGTTCACATCAAACATAAACACTGGCAAACTATGCTAATCTTAGTTTTCACGTGGTTCCCAAAGCTGCTTGCAGGTTTCCACAGCACGCTGTACTGTTAACATTGTGGATCCTGGATGTTACTGAGTAAGTACAAAAAATATTGGGTTGCAGTTAGCGCCTTACTTGATCATAGGCTTCCTTATTGCATTATGATAGTCCTTATATTTGCTGTTAGTCATAAGGTACGCAAGCAGTGATTCATACATAACACAATAACTCCTGATATTAAGTCCTTCACATTGAAAAGCTAATAATACAAGAATGCTGGATGAACACCATACAATATTAATGTGAAATAAGGAAAAAGCTCATGTTCTACACACCTGCATGTTGTTTGATGTGGGACACAGGCATGTTCCACTGCGACAGGACATCCAGTATGTCCTAAGCCATGCCCGCGAAGGGGGCGATGGCTTGAGCCGCATCGAAGTCAGTCGAATCCGGGCCAAAGATCCGGTGACCGGGGAAGAGTTCGATGACGTCTTCGTGAATCTCAGCTACCTCTTTGGCAGTGGGGAACGTTTTACCCTAACATGGAGGTGCACGGGCCCCCTTTCCAAGACAAGCATGTGTTTCTGCATTTCCATGTGGGAGCGCGCAGTTTGCTGGTGACTAGAAGTGAAACAAAGACTGCACCTCTATGTTTTGGCTGTCCTGGATGGAAACAAAGACCAAAACCTGCGTATCCCCAGCTCGTGAATTTTGAGCCACACCCTTTTCATAACTTCGCCTCGCTATCAAATGCGTCGACGCTCTTTGGGCCTTTGGGTCCGGTCCCTTTGACTCCAGGAGTCGCCCATGTCGAGGGCTGGATTTACTCGGCTCAGGAACGAGTCCTTTGCTGAGGGAAGGAGCATTTGCCAAGACGAGAGCGAGAACTTCACGCCTTCCGTGGCCGCGCCCCGGAAAAGAAACGCGGCGTTTCGGATTTTTTTCGGGTGGAGCCCAAAATGAAGTCCCGGTTTTGGGAGGTTAGTTTTTGAAGACAAACCTTCTTTGACCTTTTGCTTGAAAGGAGGCAATCGTCATAGGTGAACCTCAAACCTGGAAAGCCAACCACTTTTAGAGGCATCTGCTTGTCCTGGTCCGCTTTCTGCAGGGCTACTGTCATCGTTCCAAACGGTGGACCTTTCGTGAGTATCGCCCTAAGCGCTGAACCAGTCACTTCCGTCGCAACCATCACCCCAAAAGGTCAACCATTAGCACGCCCCGGTGCACGAAGTGGAGAACTCCTGCCTGTCACTATGTCAACATTGCCCAAGTTGTTTTTGCTGGGGGTTATTGAAAGTGAGAGTCATCCCTCAACAGAAAACCTCCAACGTTCCGGCGTTTTGGGAGGTTTTTGACTTTATGTCCCATCCAAGGTTTACCAAATATGGACCACAGGGGCAACATCTCAGGTTTGGGCTATGAATCTCAATTGGGGCCCTTCGATTGACAACGTGGGGATTTATGTCCACCTGCCATGGCTCTGCGAAACAGATATAGTTGCTGGCCCAAAGCTTCCAAAGACCTGGTTAAGCTGGGTTGTTCGTGGAAACACCCTGCGTTACCCTTTTAGGTGTCCTTTTTTGGTGGGTGAAATGGGGTTGTGAGTTGGTGTCCACAGTTTGGTCTAAGTGTAGCCTGCTGGTCCGCTTGGGTCTCTTTTTAGTTCTCCCAAGCTTCGGCCTTCTGCCAAGAATGCATCCCCTGTAAATTCACATAGGAACCCAAAAAGCGGGGGGGTTCCCCAAAAAACGTGGGTGCCCAAGCAAAACACATTTCTCTGAGTTCCCTCGGCTGTCAGAAGACCGTTGCGTCGGCGTCCGGTGCAAATCCCCTGGGGCCTGGCAAGGCACATGTCCCGAAGTAAGTTCAAGGGAAACCACTCTTTTCTGCCAGCCGGACAATGGCTGGCTGCCGGCACCTGACATCCGCTGGCGTCACTTGGTTTCGTTGACGTGAGGTGCTTGAGACGGCTCGGCGCTTGCGGGACAGTGAGCACGGCCTGCTGCTCGCTGCGGCAGTGTCCGCCTACGTGGACCTGGCAGAGTACTTTGGCCAGGACTGGGTGGCAAGTCATGGCTGGGTTCCGTGGGAAAGAAAGTGGTCCCAGGTCTCCTTTGTGGTTCCCAGGCATCCGGTTCCTTAGCTTTTTTTTGGTGTTTTTAGTGGTAGTTTCCACGAATCCCACTTTTAGCGGGGGATCTGAGGGCGGCCCAAGTCTCCTCAGTATTTCAGGTGGTTCTCCAGGTTGCAGTTTGCCCTTCCGATTTTATGGCGCTTTTTCGAGGCTCACCGTAGCCCCTTTACTTGGGGATGTGTTGCTTGCCAAATGATGGGTGTCTTTGTTGGGGTGCCATGTTTAAGGTGAGACCAAAGGAAAACCACATGTTTTTGGTGGGCTGTGTTGTCAGGTTTTTGTGTTTTGCTTGTTTGTTCGAAACCGAACTTTTAAGCATTTGGGCTCACCCCTTTTTTCAAATCTGTCGTTAGTCAAGGGCCAAACAAGTTTTGCCTTTTCTTTCAGGTTCCTTAGTCAGGTTCCTTAAAGTGCCATTGAGAGGGTACATTTTAGGATGTCAGTTTCGGTACTAGGGGGAGTGTTTGTTTAAGGATCGCCTTGTGGGTCGGTGTTGAAGGGGAAACAACAAAGGACACCAACCTAGCGACCCCGTATTGAAGACAAGTCCATGCCTCTTACCTCACATTGCGAATGACATCGTGCGCGGACGTCAATATTTCCCAATTTGAGCCAGGGAAAATATAACTTCTTGGCCAGTTGGTCAATTTTTAGATAAGTCTCTTGCTGGGGTGATGTGTCAGGGGGAGCCATACTGTGGGTGGACAAAATCCGTTTCGCACCGCTTTGAAGCGATGGTTGAAACCATTTGTTCGTTGCTATTTCTAGGGAAACCATCCGAATCCAGGGTTTCAGAACGGTGGTGCGAAATGGATTTCGTCCATCCAAAGTACCACCCCTGTCATTTTCTCCGACAAGTTTTGAAGAAGGATTGTTATGCAAGGGAAATCCCAATCAGTTTTTTGTTTTTTCTCGGGGTTTATTTGCAAGCAAAAAATAAAATGGTCCATCCAGAGTAGGAAGCCCTCCGAGTGGTTTTTTCTCTCTTCCGTCAGGAGATCTACCACATGGAGGCGCCAGTGGGCTCCGAGGAGCCCATGGCCGAGCCGCAGAAGACGCTGGTGGAGCGGCTCTCCCAGGATTGGTCCGAGCAGCTGAACGCGGTGCTGGCGGGCTCTGGCAGGACACGCGGTCGGGATGGGAACCCGGATGAAGATACCCACCCTACCAGGGGCCTACAAGTAGACTATGAATCAACCAGGGGCATCTGGGCTGCGAACCCGGAGGCCCGGAGGAATGAAATTTCCCCACGCCAAGGGGGCAAGGGGTCGCCCCAAGAACCTGGAGGATGGAATTGTCTCCCCACCCTGCCGGGCTACAAGGGGATTCGCCCATGAATCCACCAGCTGAAAATGCATCTCGCTTTGAATCGTGGTCCCCTTGTGAGAGGTTCACGGTTTGAGCCTGAGATGGAGCCCCTGGACCCTTTTTCAGGCTCTATGGTTTGGGTTTTTGGGGAGGGAAAGGCATGGAAAAAGCCACAAGCAATAGACATAAAACCGACCCAACAGGAGGCGATCCCCTTTTCCAGCACGTAAAGTGCTTCATTGACACCTGGCGGTGTGGGTCAAACTTAAAGCACCAGGATATGGACCGCAGGTTTTAGCCCATGTTTCCATTTATCATTTACCAGGGTTGATTTTGCGTACCTATTTTTGACCCACACCCACCTGGCGGTGTGTTGCTAAAGTTTGTGTTGTCATTTCATGAGCCGTCAGGCACGAACTGCCCCAAGCCCCGCAAGAAAGGACGGACCCTTCCGATTCCGCAGATACACCAAATCAATGCTCGTAAGGTATGGAGGTACTTCGCTACCCCTCTTTTGTGTTTCCAGGCAAGGGGGATGGAAATATGCAGACATGTAAACGTATTTTCCTGGGGTTTGCGGAGGACTCCTTGCCCCAACACCGCCGAATGGTTGCTCTTCTGCATGAAGAAGACGACGTGCCTCTTGGAGAGGGCGGCGGAAGGAGACCCTCACGGCATCACCCCTGGGCGCATGGCCACCTATCTCGAGGCTTGGCTGGAGTCGACCTTGGAGCCTTTTGGGTGTGGCTCAAAAATAAAGAGCTGGGGTTACACGGGGTTTAGTCTTGGTTCCATTTACCAAGGTGCCATTTTGGTACCACTTTTTTGAGCCACCGCCTTTTGGCATTTTTTGGCTCCATGGATTCATTTGCAAGCCAGGCAGCCACGCAGGTCCCGAACCTTGGGGTATGAAGCCACGACATCATCGGGGGCATTGTATGCAAGTTCCCTTGGGTAGTGGAAACCCTTTGAGATTAGTCGATGTCTTTTGTCGGGCCGACCTGTGAATCTATTTCCCTGCTAAGTAGGCAACTTAAGGGACAGTCCTTTGAACATGAAAAGGTTACCAACTATAGGAGCTTGCCTAGGATTCACTGGTCCATGTTGAATCATCCCAAAAGGGTCAACAATCCCATTTACGTCTATTTACTATCTCCAGGTCCCAAACAAAAGGTAGGCCCCATGTCGAGTCGTGTTGAGTTAGCCACGTTGGGCATGTGGTTAAGCGTTCCACTAAGGAAGTGGCCAAGGAGGTGGAGGACCACTTCGAGGAGTTCGCTATCCAGGCGCAGATGGGGCTGCCGCACATGCCGGATCTCTGTGAAGGGGAGGAGCAGAGCACAGAGATGCCCGCGGTCCTCATGCAGCTCAAGGCAGTGGATCAACCAGGCGTTTCTGTGTTGTTGTGTTGCCTTCCTGGTTGGAAGGCAAACCAGTATGAGTCGGTTTCGGTTGGAAACCCGAAATGCCGAGTTCAAAGGGAAGCAGAAGGGAAACCTGGGATACCTACAATTTAGTCCGGCATGTCTTCGGGGACTTTGTGTCGGTATATAGGAGATCAACCATTTTTGTTTGGTCAATCAGCAACCCCATTGTGGGCTTCCCCAGTGGGGTAAAAACTAATTTCAAGAAGACCAAGCCCAAAGAAATCGATCAACCCCACTGTGTGGTCTTTAAGCCTCCAGCCCCACGCTTGAAAAACAATTTTCGCCGGGCCCTCACTGGGCCCCTCGTCTCGGGGGCCCCCCGCCAGCCGCCCGCCGCCGAGCGCGCCAGGCGGAGAGCGGTGCGGGGCAGCGCCTGGGCCGAGCAGTGGGCGCGGTGGTCCACACCCTGCGGGCGTCGCAGAGGACGGCGCAGGCCTTGGAGGACCACTCCAGGCACGCGGCTCTGAATGTGACGCCTTTGTTTCTGACACGTGAATGATACAGTGGTCATAAAGATGGGAATCCCGCGTCCGGATGGCATAAATTGTGATTCGCCCCCGCAATAATGCAAGCAGCCCCACTCCACTCCACTCCACCCCAGTCAACGCGAGAGACGCAGTTTGGTGTTTCAACAAGCTGTGCAACCGACGCTGGGTTCCCATGTGCAGGCGTTTGAGGGCTTCAGGGCGAAACCAAACAGAAACCACCCATTTTGAAGCTTCAAACCCCTCCTGCGGATGGTTGCCAAATCCAGCCAACGCCCCATCTTTTTGGGTTGGTTTGAAGGATGCCACAAGAAACACGGCCCACTTTTGCTGGGCTGCGTTATCAACAAGGTTGCCACTTTCAGTGATACCAAGCGAGCCCCCTTCAAAGTGTGTGTTTGTTTGTGTGTGTGTGTGCGTGCATGGTGCGTATGTTGTTTGAGGGTCCTTCTTTGTTGCTGTTTTTTTGTTTGTGTGTTTTTGTGGTTGCCGGTTGGTTGAAGCGGACAATTCTGGCCACATCTACAATTTGACAGCTTCCAACGCCCAGTTGCTTCAAAGCCCCCCGAACAAAACAAGTAGCTTCCCTTTAAAGGGGTAGAGCTTGGAGGTCAGGCCCATTCTAGCACCCCGCAAGTCAGGCGATTCTGCCGTTTGGAATTCTGGAAGCCATGCCATAGAGCAAATGCAGAACCGTGGAATATGTTCATTTTCTACAGCCTTGTTGCAGCAGACTGTCAATCACCAGAATCTGTCACTTTGCATCATGGCGACTGAAAGTAAAACAAGGTGTTTGATCAACACATATTCTCAAACGGTCTACTGAAGCAAGGCACGTCAGGTCAGTGCTTAGTAAGCCTGGTTCCAACCCACACGGAGAATTAGAAGCATTGTAAGTAGTTGTGTGTTTTTTGTCCAGGGCAGCTAAAGTACAATGCCCCTTCAATGGAGGCTTCATCTCCTGGAGTCCTCCTTCTTCACGCACACCTGGAAGAAGGTGAGGAGTTGATTCGCTTGTGCCGTTTTTTCGTGCCGCTCGTGGCTCGATTTGTTTGCTCTTCTTTGTTGGTGTTCTTCTCGTGTCAAGATGTTTGTCGAGGCCTTGCGACTGCACAGTTCCTTTGAAGCATCTCTGACTTGCATGTAGTTGGTCTTTTCAGCTCGCAGGCGTGCGAGCTGATCGGGTGTAAAACCAGCTCCTTTGTGGACATCATGGATGCGTCGGCCGGGCACACAGCGGAGCTGGTGGACGTGAACGCATCCTGGCACGCAGTGAAGACTCATCATGTCGCCTTCATGCAGTTCAGGACCTCGGTGTGGAAGGCAGCGCTTGGGGGTCGGTTTGAACCACAAACTGGTCGACCCCGATCAATATCCCTGTCCCAGTAACAGAGGGGATGCCCTGGTTTTGGTGGTCAATCTGGGTCAGTGTGAGGATTTAAGAAGCATCCTTAAAGGATTCCTTGAAAGAAATGGGTATGGGTCGAAATTCAACAACCAGGGGACCTCAGGTTTGAGTGCCTGGTTCCATTTGGCAGGGCAACCCATTTTGGGTACATCATTTTGACCAGCCAAATCTGACAGCTGGTGGTTGAACGAGAGAAGAATATACCAAGATCGGTGGAATTGGACAATTGCGGTTTTGTCTTTGAAAGAAATCGTTAAAGGGGAACCATCCCCCCCCCGACGCATCTTAGTCATACCTTTAACGAGAATTTGCCCACCAGGCCATGAACGCCAGCAACGCCTTCCACGAGAACTTTACGAGCTTTATCTACGAGCCGGGCAGGGCGCATGGCGCGAAGCGCACAGATCCTATCTACAAGGAGGGTGGCTTCGCTTTCCTTCGCTGGGCCTTTTGGATGGGTTCCCCAAAGCTTCCAAAGACCTGGTGTACCAAATGTGGGACGGGCCAAAATCTCAGGTGTGGGCTGTGAATCTCGATTGGGACCATGTCCTTTTTGGTTGTTTTGGTAAACAAATAGATGGCGATTCCTGGTTTACCTGGTGGTTTAAACATCTACCAGGGAAACCCATCTATTTGCCCTAAAAGGACACCTATGGTGGCAACTCTGTCGCTGGGCTTTTGGATGGGTTCACTTTTCAAGTTGGTTTTTTGACGGGAACCACAAGGCAAGCCAGGAATGTTGGGGGATTTGGGTGGTTTAAACGAGGGGAACCACGAGGAAAGCCAGGAATATTTTAGCGCTCCCCTCATTTCGCTTTTTGGATTTCACTCAAGATTCTAGCTTGGTTTTCCTGGTGCTGAAATTGAGTTGGCTTGTCCCCTGGTGGTTGCTTGTCACTTTCATGATGCAGATTGCAGACTTCCGAAGTCGAAGGGGCACGCGCTTAACCTTGGTGTAGCCAGCATGCTGCCCTTCCGTGAGCTCACATGCGCGGACTGGCCGTCATGTAGATAAGATCGAGGAGAACTCATTCGCCCTCAGCGCCACATGCGCCCTCAGCTCCCAGCTTCTTTCCCTATCCACTGCTTTTCCTGGGGGTCCTCATTTTGACTTTCTGGGGTTGGTTCCGTGAAATCCGTCCTGTTTTCCTGGCTTCCTTAAGATCCAGCTTCCTTCAGTCTCACCTCAGCTTCTCAGCCCAGGCTACTTGGATGACCAGCCCGCCGAAGTAGGCCGTACCCTCACCCGCTTTAGGGACCTGCCAACCGGGGTTAGCCACTTACTTACTTGCACCTTTGGATGTTCAACCCACTCGGTGTCTTATAACCATGGCTTATGGGACAAAGTTCTAAACCGGTTCAAAAAGACTGCTTCCAGCTTGCACTACAGGACGACAATGTGCTGAAAGGAGCCTTTTCCATTCAACGGATCACTCAAATCCAGTGTGGGCTGCCCAACCAAACCCCGGCGCATCCAGGAGGCCGGGGATGTGTTGTCCACCGCCCTGGCCCTGCGGCGAAACAACGACAACGGCAAAGGCATCAAGCGGAGTGGCTGGTGGTGCTTCAGCTGGCGAGCCTCCGCCACTGGAGCGTTGCTCGGCGCGGAAAAAGTTCGTGGCTTCTACTTCTCCCAGGGATGCGGGGTTGCTTTGTTTTGGATCCGCTCGCTAATTTGAAAGGTATAGCTGGGGGACTGGGGAGTTGTTTTTTTTGCTTTTGGATATCCGCCAATTTCACAGGTACAGATGGGGCCCTCGGTTGCGTTCTTGTTTTTTTGGCTCCGCCAATTGTTTGTCAGGTATGGCAAGAAGTTCCCGAAGCCGGAATCCGTTTGGGGCGTGGTCGCGGGCTTCAAGATGATCACGGGCTCCACGGCCAGCTTGACCTATCTGATGAGCGGCAAGAAGCTCTACTGCTATTGATCTTTAGACCTTAACTTTTTGGATTCCCCGCATGTTTCCTACAGCACCCAAGGATTTCATTTTCCCCTCATTCCCTCTTTTTGGATCCGATCCTAGCTTTTGGTGCTGTTGGATTTCCTTTTTCACCAGCAAGAAGTCATTTCCTGTTTGCCGGGGGCACTGCCCAGGAAGCCCACCGTGGACCTGAAGACCTCCGTGGGTCTCACCATCGGCTACGTGCCGCAGCTCTCCAGCGTGGCGGGCGTGCGCGCGGGGGTCTCGGTGGGGGGCACCGTGGCCCTGGGCGCCGACAGCTTCAAGATGAGCAGCTGGGATCGGCAGCTTGTGGGTGAGCAGCAAGGGAACAGCCCACAAGTTCAGAGATGTGCATTTTGCCAAGGGATGTTAGGACTTTAACTTTTTGCCAACTCATGGCGTTTCCCTTAAACCACTAAATGTTAAACTTTTAGTAGGGGATCAGCCACATTTAGATGCCAACTGGAAATCAACCGTTGCCATATCAGGCTATATCAGTCACTGGGATCCTCTGTATCAATACTAGGGCCCCCCAGCTAGGTGCCAACTTTTACCCTTCTTTTTTGGGGGAGGGTTACTACAATAGACAAAAAAGAAAGAAAAGGTGGTACCCTTATTCTAACCTTTCTACTCAAAAAAAACTAGCCAAAAGGGGCTGGACATTTGTTTATTCTTTCCCAGGCGATTCCATGGATTCCCTCCCACGCCTTTTAAGGAAGGCTTGGTGGCATGTTTTTTGCCAGAGCTTTTGGGAGCTTCCGTGTTCGCCTGAGGGAGTGTAGCCCGGAAGGTTTGATTCTGCCAAGAGGAAGCCAAAAGGGGATGAGTTGATTTCCCTCAGCCTTCTTGGCATGGCCAAGGATCTACATGACTATGGGGATGAGCACGTTTCCTCTTCCACGCCCCCTCCCATGCCAAAGAGGGTGAGCATGTGCCCCTCCGCAAGAAGATAGCAGGTCGACCTACTGTGGATGGACGAAATCCTGCACCTAAGAAACCCTGGGATGATCAATCCCATTTAAATAACAACAACCAATGGTTTCCCATGGTTTCTTGGGTGGTGCGAAATGGATTTCGTCCATCCACGGTATGTCCTCTCCCATGCCCCTCCCATGTCAAAGGGGATGAGCATGTGCCCCCTCCAAAATACTCACCCAGCCAGCGGATGGTGGCTCTCCCTTCATTTTAGTGGTGGCCCAAAAAGTGTACACTCTTTTTGGGCTGGTCACCTATGCCAGGCATCTCTCTTGGCCTTGGCATGAGTGCTGCCACCGGCCTGGTGCATCACTCCTTCTGCGGCGGCCCGCAAAGCATCCCCACGCCCATCGGAGACATCAAATGTGGGGGGTCAGTGGCGGCATCCTTCACCCTCTTTTGCAACCTGGCTGCTTTTTTGGCACGAAAGCTCAAATTCAGCTTTCGATCTGTTGGACAACTGCATGTTCCCTCTTGTTTGGAGGGCTATCTGTTGGACAATTGCATTTTCCCTCTTCAGTACCAGTCTAACTCATTGGGGGTCAGAGACCCTTGGGGTCAGAGACCCTTGGGGTCAGAGACCCCAAGGGGTCAGAGACCCCTGGGGTCAGAGCCCAAGGCAAGTCCTTTGACTTCCTGAGCGGGGACAACAGCGCCTCCATGGACGACCCCTGTGCCACTGGCAGCAAGGTCCATGTGCAAAACCACCGCCGCCGCCGCAGATGGCACTACGACATGCCCGGCCAAAGCCGCACCGTGGAGGCCAAGGCGGAGTACTGCCGGGAGCGCTGCAACAAAGTGAGCGGCTGCGCGCACTACTCCTACTGGAAAAACGGGGGGTGCCACCTTCAGGCAGGAGTTGGTGGGCGATTTTTTGGGTGACGCTGAAAAAAGGCCGGGTGACTTCAAAGGGAAACCTCAAGTGGGTTGTTTGACCAAAGTAGTTGAAGCATGTACACCCTTCAGAATTGGGACTCCCACACCGAGAAGAAGAATGATGCCAAGACGGGCTCGCCCATTTGCTGCGCCATGGGTCAGACGCGCTTTGAGTATGAGGGCGGACATCGCAGGAGGAGAAACCTTGACATGCCTGGGCGAGAACGGAGCACAGAGGATGTCATGGAGAAGTGCCAGCAGCGCTGCCAGAGGGTGAATGGATGTCATCATTTCACCTACTGGACGAATGGGGGTTGCCACCTGAGTGGCGCCGGGGCGGTGGCCAAGCCGGACAGCAGCCGCCGAAGGCCCACCGTTGCAGGAAAGCCACATTGCGACGAGTCGTAGACGTGAAGTCCCACATTGCGACGAGTCGGAGATGTGAAGTCCCGACTTGTTCTGCGCGTTGTCGTTGTTTTGTTTTTGTTGTTTTCCGCGAAGCGGCCAAACAAAGGACGGTCGGTCCTCTTGCCTGCGACGTGGAGTCCAGAGTGAAAAAACATGCGAGTGCACAGTGATCTTGGTTGCGACTGATGTATTTTGTTTGTTTGCTGCAACAGCATCTACGGTCCAGGTGTTTGCCTCCTCCGTCCAAACATGGCTTGTGCATCATGCATCATACAGTAGTGATGTATGGCAAGTGAGCGACTGCCGTCAAACCCTCATCTTGGTTTGATTTCCCCTCGCCCCCTTCCCGTTCACAAGGCGTTTCTAGGTTCACTGACACTTGAGCCAGAGTGTAGCAGCCCGTCCTAGGTGGGTGAGCCCACCGTTGTGGATCTTGGTCATGCGGCTTCTTTCCCAACCCGCCCGGCTGACTTCGATTGCGAAATCCTCTAAAGTGCCCTGCGGCTAGGAGGGCACTTCGTTGTGCGTGGGGAAGGTGAAAGACACCAAGGCGAAGCTCCAGAAACCGCAGGAGGTCCAGGCAGGGAATCACGAAGCCGGCGATGGGGGTCCTTGCGCCATGAGCCATGAGCTTGTGGAAATACCGGGGGTGACAGTGATATACAGCTGATGGACAGCTGCAGCCAGTTGGTAATTTGGGTGTGGGTCAAAATTAAACCCCAGAAAATCCGCAGGTTTTCGTCCATGTGTCCATTTGCCAGGGTGCCATTTTAATTTTGGGTACCTATTTTTGATGGCGCCTAGATGGCAGCCAAGTTGGGACTACATTTTGATGCCAACAGGAATTGGCTCGCTACCTAATTGCTATGCCGGGTCATTACCCAAAATAACGGGGTGATGAGTCCATTCTTTAAGGGTCACGGAGAATGCAGGTATGGGCAACTGGGATCCGCTGGGTGTATCAATACAACATGCTTTTGTCGTGGCTAGTTTGGCTGTTCGTGAAGGCTTCCGTGGCCTGGTTTGTGATTAAGTGTTGCCAGTCCCAAGCACTTGTGAATGGCTAGAGCCGCATGCTGACACAGATCCGTCCCCGCTAGCCTCAGAGCTCGCTACAAAAGGGCCGCAGACAACGAAAATTCAGCGAATGCTCTCGAGCAGCAGTTGCTCCATGAGAGGCAAGTAGAAAGAACCGATTCCACCTTGAGATTGGCGTGGCGCAAAAACCGTCCCCTTCATACACAGGTTCCACGCTAGACTTTGGCAGCCTGTGCCAATGGCGGAGTGATCTGTTTCCAGTCCAACTCCAGCTAAAGCCATGTGGCCATGGTTCAAAACCAATTGTACCATTTTGGGATAGGTGCACCACCCATTTTAGTCGACTTTAGTGGGGATATGTGGGGATTGGGATGTTCACTGGGGGCACGGGGTTTTGACCCATGGCCATGTTGACCTCTGAGGACTTGAATCTTGGGGGTTTTGGACCGTTTTCGTGGTTAATACAGGTTTTGGTTACCTCTTTTTTTTTGGGCCATCCACTCATGGCGCTTAGCTTGCCGGCTTTGCCAGACCCAACTTTGTTCCCATCCACCGCTTTGGTCCTGCGGCTTAAGCCCAGGAGCACGTGATGTGCATCGACGGGACCATCGACTTCACGGGGCCCAGCACTTCGGATGAGTGAGGAGCTGTCAAGCCCTCAACTCTTCCCCAGAACTAGCTCCCCCTTGTTGTTTTTTTGCTTTTTTGGGGTCCCTTTGTTTTCCACCAACGAGGCAAAACAAGATCTTTTTTTTGCTGGGGTCCTAATTCCAGCCTAGGACTAAGTATCAAACTTAAGATTGAGGGTACCCTCCCTGCCACTAACATGGCATTTGACAGGAGGCTCCGCCAAGAGGAAATTCATCTTCCAGGTGCCCTCCGACAAGTGCCATGTTAGTGGGAGGGAGGGTATATCTGTCCCAGGGAAACCGATATGCCCAAGGTTGAGAACACCAAAGACGATAGTTTGTAGAAGTCGCTTTTTGGTTTGAGTTTGACATGATGCTTTTGGATGCTGTTGTTATACTCGTCGCTTGACAAGATGCAAGGGTCGTAATGTTTAAATGTTTGTAACTTGCTGCTTCTCAGAGAATCCATGGTTGTTGAAACCAGAGTAACGGATGGGTTGCACCCACATAAACCCCCCAGCAATTTATTCATCCGGGTTTCCTCTCATTACTGGGGTCCCCCAAATATGTGTGCGTTTTATTGCATTTAAGGTTGGATAAACGCGAATGATCACCTGAATGTTTCTGTCTGCCATGGCTATCAAGACTGCAAGCCCTACCCCAATACTTGAATCATCCTGAGCCAAGCATACCAACCTGAAATCGAGACGGTTGTTGTTCTTGTCTTGCGCGCAGGGTCCTTAGTTTTCTTGGTTTTTAGAGAAATCCATATTCAGAGCTCCCCAAGAGAAGCAGGGGTGTTTGGATGTGTCCTCAACAATGCCTGTTCAAGCCCTGGTCTCCAAGACAGAATTTCGTTTTAGTTTCCCCCCAGTGCATGTCCTCCTTTTTGTTTGGTGGGGCTCCCCCCTGAAAAGGCATCATCCTCAAAACGCCCTTCAAATCGCCTTTTTGGTTGGCTGGTTCGGGATTGCGCTAAAGATGGTTTTGGCTCCAAATAGGCTTCCAAATATTTGCCCACAAGGGTCACTGGGCAACCGGGAAGATTTTGAGTAATGGATGTAGCAAATCAAAGGTCGCAGCGTTCTCAATAACTTCGTCGCGCTTTGTTGCGCGACATCAAACAGGGAGGAGGAGTTTGAGACCTGTTTTCAGGCTACGCTAGTCTTAGAGCAGATGAAAAGGGGCAACTAAACTGGGAGCTATTGACCTCACAATGATGAATTTGGGTTTGCGCCACCGATTTCGTTTGTGTTTCTTGCGTATCCCGTATTTTAAGTTCACATTTGTATGATTCCGCTGTCAGTTTTGTGGGAACGCTGGGAGCAAGACGCCCCCACCCCCTCCCCTGAAGGTAGAAGCAAATTTTGGACTGACGCTTGCAGGGCGAATCCCAACAAGAGGCCTTCATTGCTAGACTTGGCCACAGCGTTGTCGCCCACTTACCGCTTGTTCCTTTGGCAGTTGCCTCTCTTTGTTTGTTAGTTTGTCTTTTGCTTTATGCAGGAGGCGGGGGTGGACTAAATGTTCAACCCATCTTTAAAAGAAACAGAGAGCAGTCGCCACTTTGTCCCTGGCCAGTCATAGGCTGGGAAGTAGTTGTGGCCCACAGTCGCAACATACTCCCGGTGTGGTACATGACCTTCGGGTACCCTGAATGCGCATCCAGAGTGTAGACTTTAAACTCGGGTATGCAGGAATGCCGTGTTCCGATGATGGTAGGTGCCTGTCCGTTCTCAGTGCCCAACTCAGCACTGCCCCTGTGGCAGACATGGGCCATGAGGCCTTGAATGAACCCATGAAAGCTTTGGCCTTTGCTGTATATTTCAGGGGCACCTTGCCCGGCGTACATTTCGTCCAGCGTTGGGCCCTTCAAAAACTGCTTGCAGCACAGAGGCTTCGCCGGAGTTACCCTCCCATTATTTCGAGACGCACCCACATCGTAGGAGAGAGCAAAGCCGTCTTTTCGTGGTAGCACCATCCCCTTATCCGACCTGCAAACTCCCATAGAAGAGCCCTCTGAAGTTCTTTCACCTGTCATCCAGATTGCTTTCATTGCGAAGTTGGGCCGGGGGGGGCATTTGTTGGAGCGACTTTGTTTTGACCAATCTCCCCCCTGTGGAGCGAATCCGATAAAAATCGCTCTCAGAAGCGGAGTTCCACATCAAGGCGGGCCAGAACGTGGTATTGCCCAAGGGCCTGGAATTGGAGTACAGCTTCCCCAGCTCTGCAGCCTTTGTCGTAGTCACCCTGGAGCCTTGGCGGTCTCGGTTACACGGCAGGGTGCGGTTTTGTGCACTGCAAGCTTTGCGGAGAGATCAAGAGCTGGCGGGGCTTTCCAGAGTCGCTTTCTCCTTTGGCATCCAGGGCATTATTCGGTGCGGGTGCCCCCCAACCCCCCCCAATGCCATCCATCTATAGATAAACAAAAGGCAAACTCCCAAGCAAACATTCTGGGTTCATTACATTTGCTCTTTGTGTGGTTCTGATTGGTTAGGCACTTTGCCGACGGCCCTTAAGGAAGCTCGGCTGGGGGTAAGATGATCGTTCCATCCATCCATCTGGTTTCGCTCACCCTCATCCTTTGGCCTTTGGCTTGTTTTGTCAGGATGGAGTTTGCTGCTGGAGTCATGTGTGAATCGTCGGGGATGTGGGCATGGCTTGGGTTGACCTAGCGAGCAGGAGCATCGCACCAAGCCCATGCCACCGGCCAACCAAAAACGGCACTTGAGCTTCGGGGCATCAAATGCGATTGCTCTCCTCTGCCAATTCCTTGGATTGTTTCCAGCCAGCATACAAACGGATTTTCCTTTTGTTGGGCAAAGAGGGGGAACTGATATGACATGCATGTACAGAACTGCCTCCAGTCACGAGATGGCTTGCCGCTGGCACCCCTGCTGTTCCCCGACTTGTCTCCCCACTTGTCTCCCGCTCTTGCTGACTCGCCCGCCTGTCTCCCCACTTGCCTTGCTAGCATTTGGTTACTCGGGCGCCTCCCGACTTGTCTCAACCTGTGCTTGCCGGCTTGGACCTTGTCACGGCTTTCTTCGCATTTGTCGCTCCACGTTTCTTCCCACTTGTCTCCCCGCATTTCTCCCTGCTTGTAGTTGCTGACTCAAACCTTTGTCCCAGCTTGCCTCCCCACTTGCCTCCCTGCTTGCGCTTTCTCGCTTGGACCTTGGCACGGCCTGTCACCCTATGTTTCAGCTCGTCTCCCCACTTGTGCAGTGGCTGGATGACAAAGTCGTGCCACGCGGTTCATCAGGCAGCGCAATCCAGCATGGTGCACGACTTGCCGGTGCTACGAGCAGCCGGGAGACTAACCATGTGCTTAGTAAATATGTTCATGAGCGCGCAGAAAGCTCTGCGCCTACTCAAGATCCCGAGTGTTTCACATCCGGCGAGGAGCCAAGGCGGCATAGCATTTGAGCATGTTCATATTTGTCACTTTGCTGCTGTGCCTTTGGTGCAGAGTGTGGTTTCTTTTCAGCCAGTGCGTCCGGCGTTGCGCCTCGTTGTTTTGTACGACCACACCCTGATTTGCACGAGACAAGGATTTGTGTGCAGGTTGCTTGATATTTGTTGATCTGATGATGAGAAGGCTTGATATTTTACTGTTTTCCGTTTTTTGCACGACTTGTGGCAGTGAAGCTTGACACGGTAGATTTGGCGACACGCAGCCCAATTGTTTGGCACCATGGTGCGTATTTGCCGGCTGACATGCTGTTTGATTCTCGGTTGTGTTGGAGGATTTGCATGTTTGAAAGCAGAGGAACCAGCCACAAGCAAGGCAACCCACTTGCAGCGCGCGCTGCGGTTTCCATAACACTTACTGGCGCTTCGGTTTTTCCATGGCGTGGAAACTCAGCTGTGACAAGATTTGGCGACAACAGTTGGTTACGCAGTTGCTTATTCCTTGTCCTTGACTTGGCAGCTTGATTTGGCTGCTGTCCAGTTGAAACCAGCTCATGTTCGCAAATGCAGGTCGATGCTGGCTTGACATCTGGTTCAGACGTGCCTGACAACCCGGTTCAAATCATTTGGGCCCTTAGAGTACGCACATGAACCCATGTGAGTTGGCGTGTTCGGGGCGTCTTGCGTCAAACGTCTGAGGACGAGGATACCGCGGTGCACGAGAAGGACTGTTCCTGTTGTTCAACTCAAAGGGCCTAAACGGCTAGAACCTCGCTGCCCTGGCCCCCTTCACAGGTGCTTCAATGTCATGCTTAAACATGTTGAAACAGAGGCTCACCCCACCCTGCAGCCCAATCCGATTGGCGACAGGACTTAGTGTCCTTTGTTTGGCGCATGGTTCGATTTGCCACACCCGCTGCAGGATTTCGTGGTTGGTCCCGCGGGACCTGTTTCTTCCAAGTGGATAGTTCTTGTTGAAGTTCGAAGGGCGCCAGCCGGCTGGAGTGGAGGTTTCTTCTTTTGTCAAGGGGGAGCAACTTCAGTGTGAAGTAGGGAACCTGCAAAATGGATGGGTTGGCTCAATCAGGGTAACTTGGTGGCTCCCAGCCATCTTCTTAGCTTGTTGCTTTTTAGGGTTTAGTGGGGATTTCCATTAAACCGACTAAAAGTTAAACTTAGCGGGTAATTCTACCCAAAAGAAGACGTGACCACATATTCCAAGGTCAAGCCCCTCAGCCAGCGTGTCAGACCAAAGCAGAATCCTTTGAAGTGTGGCTGGCTGGCCGGTTGGTTCGATCTTAGGTCGTCTTTTTGGGCCGCGCGTGTGAACCAGCTTGCCGCTTCTGGCAAATTCCCAGCGGTGAAAGTCAAATAGAGTGGGGCCTTTTACCCCGCGAACCACGTGCAAGCCAGAGACTCACTTTGTTAAGCTCGTGGTCCCTCAGGTCTGCGCAAGGCGATGCTCGGGCAAATCAGCGTACCACACTTGCGGGTTTCGAGATAGTGGACCGCCCGAAACGGCTGGTTCTGTTCCGTGCCAACCACAAGGGAGTCCCCCAAAAGGGGGCGCATATTTTCTTAGCTGTGAAGGCCCTCAACAGTTCGACGCCAGGCAGTTAGCGGCATTCTGTTGGTTTTCACTCAAAAGGCCATCCTTTTTTGTTCTTGCCAGGAGCCAAGAGTTGTGGAGAAGGTGGACGTGGTTGATGCACCAGGCATGGAATTGTGTCCTTTTCCTATTGTTGGCCACCATTTAGACCTTGGCCAAGCACTCCTCGGTGTGTTTAGGTGCACCCGACCGGCAATTGATCGACGCATGGCGGGATCTCAGCTGCCCCATTGTTCGCTTCTCAGCAGTTTCATTGCGCCAAGCGTCCGATTGAAATGGGTCCCACTTCTCGGAGGCTTTCGGATATATCCACCCCTGGTTGATCAATGAGGGAGTTGCCCCCCTTTCAGGGGATGCTGGGCGTTTAGGAGAAGACCCACCCCCGATGAACTTGTGAAATTCCAGGTTCGGTGCCTGAACCAGCCATGTTCTCCTGCAAGGCATCACTATCACCGAGCATTTCGGCTGGGTTGCTTCCAAGGTTCGCGGGGGTGGGCGGGTCAATGGGCGAGCGGTTTGAAGCACCCCATAACAGACACTGCTCTTGGTCAGCGGTTTGAAGTAAGCGCCATGGTGGATGCCTGATGCCTGGCTGCTGTTCGTATTTGCGTTGCACGGCTGGTTTGTGCTGCGGCTCGGGCTTTGGATCACGGATGTGGCCGAATTTGTTTAGGGCAATGCCTGTATGGCTGGTGGCTGCAACAGCCAGGGACCTCAACCATGGCCCCAAAGAACCCCTAAACCTTGCTTCAGCTGGTCAGGAGGGTGGATATTTTTTGGCGCTTGCCGAACCTGACGTGATGAAGCTTTGGGAAAAATGCGGCAAAGATCACACTTGGGCCATGCCGTTGCACTTGGCGCCTGGGCCCTTCTAGTGCTTGCCACCGTGTGGAAAAGCGCGCAGCACGCACATCCCGTTGCTTCTGCTGAAACCGCAGGGCAACGAGAAATATGCGAGCCAGGATGCATGCTAACCAAGCGCTGGAGCAAGCCCAGCCCTCGATCAAATGGCCTGGTTGGCCGCAAGAGAGTTTGGAAGTTTTGGAGCGCTCGCGCCGGCGAGGCACACGCGCGCTGTACAATGTCTACTGACCAATGCCCCTCGACCCCTCCTTCGGTATCACGGAGTTATGCACGCTAGACATCCCAGTTTCCCAACTCATTCAAATCCTTGCATTCCAGCTTTGTGACTCGGCTGCCGTGGATGCCAGAAAGCCGCTAGATTTGGCTGCCTGGCGGCTCCGTTTGCTTGGTTTGCTCTAGCGTTCTTGCCATTGATTGCTTGCTGCCGAGATCAGGGTCAGTGTAATTGGGCGGCAACTTGGCGTGCCATTACTACCTCAGATGTACATGGCCTTGTTTTTCCTTTGAGGAACGCTGAACAACTCCTCAGTTTTTGTCTGACTAACCCAGCAAAAACTCATCGCTGGTGGGCGCCTTGGTTTCGTTTCGCCGGCAGAACGCTGGCACCGGCGCTTCGCGCTTTGCGCGAGGACGGGGCCTTCTCCTTGGCCTCCGCCCGGGTCCGCGAGGCCTCGGAGGAGGCGTACCAGGCGCCCCTCTTCGACGAGTTTGTGCCTCGGAAAAGTTTGCGGCGGACGGAACGCGTGCGCCGGGGGTTTGCCTCACTGCTGAAAAGGGGGCAGTCTACGTCAGCTATGTGGTTAGCACGCCTGGTTATAACCCACAAAAGCCATGGGTATAAGTCTCATAAGTGGGTTAATTATGAACAGACTTACCAACAACTTAGTAAGTACAATGCGCCTGCAAGTGGGGGAGCCGACATCAACGGGGGTTTAGACCTTTGAGACTTTCAGACCTTGCTGTCACGCTCAAAGATAGTTTCATGGGCAAAGAGTAATTGGGGTGCAGTTGGGTTGTTGGAGGTGCAGTTTTGGAAAACGCGCGAGGCGGGGAAGGGGGGGGGGGGGCGGGGGGATGGGGGGGGGATAGGGGAACCCGCCAAATAGTGTGGTGGGGGTGGGGGGTGGGGGGTGGGGGGTGGGGGTGGGGGTGGGGGGTGGGGGGGTGGGGGGTGGGGGGTGGGGGGTGGGGGGTGGGTGGTGGGGGGAGTGGTTCCAAAAGGGGGAACCTAAATCCAAGATGGGTGGTTTCCTTTGGGTTCTCTTGCAACATGCATTTCTAAATGATGCAACCCAAACCAACGGTTTGTGTTTTTGGCTGTCCATCAAGCCCGAAAGGGTACCCTCGAACAAACAGTTATTTGAGAGGAGCTGGGAGGGAGCCGGGAAGTTGAAAAATAGAACCAGGAACCAATCAATTTGATTGTTGCATGCGAAGAATGAAGGTTGGCTAGAAAATTGCCCGAATATGTCATGCTTAGTTGGGCTGTGGGAAAGGCAAAAGCTGAAACAGTATTGGTTGCAAACAGAAAGGGGCCTATGTTGTGTTTTTTTTTGGATATTTCGGAATTCCACACTGCACCAGGGTGCAAAACATTCAGCCTTCCGGACGGGGAAGCCTACAGGCCCAATTGTTTGAAGGATAATTTGCTTTTGTCAAGGGGCCCTTGGAGGTTCCACGTTGTGAGATGAACCTTTGTTTGCGGGTGTGACCAGCGTTGTTGACATTGTGTTTGATTTGGCTTGATTCTCGTAGTTTGGTTTGGGAGGCGAGTGGGCGAAGTGGGCATGGAGCTTGATTGTTGGGCTTGGTAGCTTGAGCCATAACCAAAGTTGGTAGAGGTTTGTTGGTTTAGGTCCCCCATGTGTCCATTTGCCAGGGTTCCATTTTGGATACCTATGTTTGACCCACAGCTATGTGGCAACGTGGCTGTTGTATTGGCTCCCTCCCCTCGCCTCACTCTGACTTCACACTGTTGAGGAGTCAAATGGCGCAGGCATTGCGTGCGGCAATATGACGTGTTCCATGCACTCCATGACTTTGGCTAGCCAAGTGAAGGGTAGGGATTGACCTCCAAGTCCCAACTGAGGTGTGCAAAGTTGGATTGGTTGAATTGTCTTACAGCAAACACAGGTACGCCCATGTCCCTTCCTGGGTTTCGAGCATTTTCCTTTTAGGTAGGGCATGTTGGCCTGAGTCGTTAGTAGGGGAATCCAAGGCAAAGCCAGACGTGCATGTTGTTTTCCTTGAACGCCAGCAAGGGCAACGCTCCAAACAAGGAGACATATGTGTTGGGTGCCTGTTAATATCAGTGGGCACCTTTTTGGTTGCCTTGCTGAGTCAAGACCCTCTGAACGCAACGGCAGAGAGAGAGAGAGACAAGGACCCCAACGACACTCGCCGAGGTGATCTGCAACGAGGGCTCCATCGAGTTCCTCCATGGTGAGGAACGCTTGAGGCTGCAGGAGGGTGAGGCGGTCTTCCTGCCCAAGTCTTTGCGTGCGGCGCGGCCAGCAAGGTCTTGGGTCGAGCTCCACTGAAGGACAAAATGCTGTGGAGGGATATGCGCAATCCGTTCGCACCAGTTTGAATCCATGAAAAAAGAACAGTGTTCGTTGGCATTTACAGGGGAATGATCATTGCAGGGGTTCTGAAAGGTGGTGCAGAATTTCGTTCATCCGTAGTATGTACCAAGCAACAGCTTCTCCTACGTAGCTCGCCCACAACTGTCCATCAAAGAATCTTCCAAGTACGCCCTGGCATGCACGACAATTTTCCTTCAGTACATAATGCAAGCGAAACAGCCATATCCAGCCCACTGCAAACTGCGGGAAGCTACAGCGGTTCCCTTGTTCCCCGCTGGCAATATTCACGTGCCAGTCTTGCGGCCAGACAGGCAATGCAGGCCGGGTGTTTATTGCAACCCTCCCACTGACTGTCCCTTTAGACAGAAAAGGTCTTCCAAGACTTGCCAGTATTTTTGAGTTGGGTTTCATGTCACTTAATGAGAAGCAACACGAAAGTGACCATTTGGATTTTACCACTTGCCCACCTGACCCTTCTCCTTGATCCCCTGCAGCTGCTAAAGGCGCCCGCAGCAGCACTTCATTTCGTTTGTGACTGGAGGCGTTTGTGACTGGTTCTGAAATCATTTGGCATCAAACATTCTGTATACACCCATGGCCATTTCGCTGGACAACAGGGGTCTCCCAAAGAAACTTCCTCTACAGATGACATTGGGGTTCCATGACCACCTGACGAGCAGATCGCGGAACCCAGGCTTCGTGAACACTTGGCAGCGCATGATGGATTTGGCACATCGCTTTGTTGTGGGAGGACGCCCCTATCTCTTTTGCTCGGCTTTTGCGCCCTAAAACAATAGGCGAGCGCTGGTTGGCCAGGCAGTTTTGCAAGTCCTAGCCAAGAAAAGCTTTTGGTGGCAACATTTGGCTGTTGCTTCTTGAATTTCTCTGAGAATTTTGCGCTTGATATATTGCAGTTGTTGCTTCCCTTCAAGGACTGGCCCATAAACATTGTAGCTGCCGTATTCCTTCCAAGAACCTGGATTCCGGACCCCAGTCGGGAAAGGTTGCTAAATCAAGCCGTTTTGTTGTCATGCACCCACCCAAGGAACCCACAAGAGTGCTTTTGTGGAAACAACGTCCATTTTGGGGTGGTGTGAAGGGAACGCACAAAGACTCCAGCCTGTTTTTTGGGGCCCCCGCTGAGGTGTGTTAGTTCCCGTTGTGTGGTGTGTTTTGCTGTAAACTCGGCTTGTTGGGTCTGTCTTGATCTTCTTTGTTTTCGGCTGGTTCCCTATTTTTCTATGCGTGTTTCCGTTTCTTTGCTGTTTTTCCTGTTTTCCCGTTGCTTTTGCTTGTGTTCTTTGCTTTCTGGTATGTTTACCCTTGTTTTTCCGCATCCCCGCGTGATTTCTCGCCTTTCTCCACGTTTTGGTCGGCCCCGAGGTGAAGTGGATCTGGCCGCAGGCCACGAGGTACACGGTGCTGTGCTTGCCCGCCTTCTCCCCGGAGCTCTCCGGCCGGGAAGCGGAGGAGGGCGCCACCGTGGCCAAGGAAGCGGGTCGTTCCGGTTTGGAGCTCGGGTCGGTTGGTGCGGGTGTGGGCTGGTTGTTGTGGTCTTAGGGCTATGAGGTTTCTTTGGATTGGCGGTTTGGATTGGTTTGGGGAAGTCTTGATTGGTGGTTTGGATTGGTTTGGGGAAGCCTTGATTGGTGGTTTGGATTGGTTTAGGGAAAATAAATTGCGTAAATATTGCAAGCGGGGCACTCGTAACTTCCCGCAGTTTGCAATATGTACTGAAGGACATTTTGCTGTGCCTGCCCAGGGCGTACTTGGAAGAGTATCTTGATGGAAGTTATTGTCCTTCATCAGTGGAGCTTGACCCTACTTAACGGCGCGATCTGGCACCTAGTAAGTGGCTAGTACCTGGTTGTAACCTGCTTGGGAGACTTATAACCATGGCTTTGGTGGGTTATAACCAGGTAAGTACAATGCCCCTTTGAGTATCAGCTTCAATTGGTGGTTTGGATAGATTTTGGGAATCGAAGCCTTGCTTCTTGATGGGAAACGAATCATTAACTACCAAACCAGAAATCCAAACCAGTTGGGGGAAGCTGAGGCCTTTTTGGAATTGGCTTTCCATTGGACCTGCAGGATTCGACCATTTGTTCAAAGATTCAAACAACCACCCGGCAATGGGGTAGGATTGGGTTAGGCTTGTTGTTTGGAGGGGGGAGTTGTGTTGAAAGAAGAAAGACATGTCTTGTTGTGAGTAGAAAAAGCCCGGTGCAGGTTTACTTGGGCTTGGTGGGGCTGTATCAGGTTTGGATTCCGCAGCATAACCATGAAGGGCATTGCATCAGAGACCAAAATGGGATGTGTGATTTGCGTACATTTTGTTCACACCCTTTTCCAAACACCAGGGCAGGTTTTCGTTTCAACCGCACCCGCCGCATGTTTGGCCGGCCCCCCTTTCGTTTCCCTTTAAAGCAAGCACAACAAAGTGTACTTGCAAGAACAATATGTGCTTTCTGGTTCTTTTGGTTTTGGGCTCCGGCCCAAGATTTGAAGCTCGGCTTTGTGGCCAGGACAGCAAGTCCATGGAAAGGCTGGAAGCTTTGCATGCCAAAGTGGAAGGGGCCTGAGCCGCGCGGACATCTTCCTTGGTTACTTTGGGTCAATCAGGACTGGTAGACTTGTAATTCGTGGCCAGCCTGCATCCTTTGAATTACAGCCACGGCATGAGTTCCCCTGAGTTGCATCATGGTTGGGCTTGCACCACTTTGGCAGGTGAGCTTGCAGAGAGAACGGCTGAAGCCACAAAAGCTTTGCCATGTTTTCCCGGTGCACCTTTGCAAGCGTTGAAAACAGACAGATCCTGTTGAGTCCGACCAGGTGCTGCATGTTGGCACCCATGTTGCGACCAAGTCTGCGCGGACAATTTTCAGCACAGCTTTTCGGGTGCTTCGGCATTTTCGAGGTAGCCGATGACAGAGTTGGGCAGGTTGTGGAAGAAAATCATGCCAGGACTTGCAACCGTCCAACTCTCCCCCATTCTGCTTTACTCCCCATCCTGGCTTGCGCTGTGGAGCCAGCAGCCGGGCTAGCATCAAAATGGCGGAAACATGCCGCTGGAAAGATCTTGGGCAGCTGCCATCGCGCAACATGCTTTGGCTTGCGGATCTCAAACTTTCAATTCATTCGGACGGCTATTGTCTTGTGCGCTTGTGTGTGCAGGTGGTTGCTTTGCTGTTGCTTGTCCACGTAGGAATCCTTTTGTGTGGGTCGCCAGTTTGGAGGCAGACTCGTACGCTACCTGCAATGTTGATCCTAGGTGTGGCGTGGCGGGCCGCCTTTGTTCAACCAGACCGAAGCTGCCCGTTCTCTGAGGCTTCGGTGGCAACGGCCGCTCGGCAGGCGCGGCGTTTTGCGGAGCCAAGTTGAGGCTTCGGTTTGTGTCATTTCGTTTCCTTGCTGGTGCGATAGGCAGGGAATGTGAAATGGAATGAACCCAGGCGTCCCCTCAAAGGAATCCACAAGGGATGGTTTTATAAGGGTCATTCAATGTCCCCATTCCCTGCCTATCGCACCAGCAAGTTGTTCGAGGTCTCTTGGCAGGTGGGCAGACTGGACATCTCCAGGAATGAGTGGACTTCCAGAATGTGGGGCCATTTTTTTTACATGATTTCTTTTGAGATTTTTTTAGCGTTGCCCTTCAACAAGTAACAACAAATGGGAGATTCACCCAAAAGTGTGGGAAGACTCTTCGCCTGTCTCAAATGGAAGCAGATGGGAAGGTGTGAGAAGACTCCCGAGGCGAGGGCCAGGAGTAAACCGCCGCCGGAAGGCTATCATCATCTCCACCAAAATTGTTTTCAGAGAAATTGAAATCAGGCAGTGACGAAGCTGCAGTTCTCCTTCTGCAAGTCCGACCTTCAATCCTTCGATCTATGTTTCTGGCGTTAGCAAGAGATGTTTGGATTGGCACGTTGACACATGCTGACCTTGTGAACCCGAGCAAGTGCGTTCCTTGCAACGAATGGCCTTTGGGTGAGAAACGGCCCATCCCTTCCCTGACATTTGGATGTGGCTCAAAAAACCGGTACTAAAATGGAACCCTGGTAAGTGGAAACATGGACCAAAACCTGCGTAACCCTAGCTCTTAAATTTTGAGCCACCGCCATTTCTGACCACGCCAGGCTTCTCGCCCATGTCGCGGAAGCCCAAGGCTCGGAAGCGCTTCGTGCAGGAGCGGAGCTGGGGGAGGAACCGGGGCGGAACCGGGGAAACGAGCTGCTGGGGGGGCTGGTGGTTGCAAGACTTGAAGCCACCAGGCAACCGGGCCCCAAACGGAGGTTGCTTGAAGAAGATTGGTTTAACATGTTTAACCTAACTCGGGCCCAGCACAGAGCCTGCGAGTGGAAATTGGCCCTGATCAAAGCGAGCCACAACGAGATTCTTCATTTTGAGGGGGGGGGGGGGGGGGTGATTTGTTGAACATGTGGTAACAACGTTTGGGTGAAGAACAACGCAGCTCCATGATGTACTGTAAAGTGTTTTGCCTAACACCAGATCAATGGTTGGGCAGGCAACACCTGTTTGTCCCCTTCATGGTTTTGGTTGCCGGCTTGATTGGAGTTTCCTTTTCGGATTCAAGTGCCCGGTATGTTGACGCACGGCCACTTGTTTACGAGTGCACGAAAGCTAGGTGCCTGCGCCCGCCCCTTGTAAGACCAAGAAAGGTACTGATTCGTTTAGATTTTAGACAATCGACTGCCAGACAGGGTTTTTGCAGGACTGTTTGATTGTTTGGTAGACTGACGCGATTTGAGGCGGCTGCTGTGAAATGATTGCGCAATTTGCACTTGTTCTGTTGCCAAGAGGCTATGAATTTAGATTGGAAACAGCCTCAATAGTGCAAGGTGGACATACCCCCGCCCCGCTGGCCGCAATGTACATGTGGCATGTCTTTGGGCAACTTGGTTGCCAGCTTCCTTGCGCACCTTTGGGCCGAAGCAGGCTCCAGATGCAGTCATCGTTTGAGACAAGTCGATGCAACACCTGTCATGCCAAACTTGCCCCATCCCTCACGCAGCAAAAGGACCCAGCCTTTTTTCGCCATGATCGGGCCCCATGATCTGGGCTCCCAGCGAGTGGAAAGCTCCGGGACTTTGCACGAGAAGGGCGACCGGATCCACACCTTTTGGGAACGCCCCGTGACCGGAAAGGGGGCTTCTCAAGGTGAGCAAGCCACCCCTGCTCGCCTTAGGCGGTTGTTCTACTACGGTTCATAGGGGTTTACGGCGAGGCCTAGCCAAGTTCTTCTAGCCGTAAGACACTGCATTTTCGGGCGCTGCTCACGTGGAAAGGGGGGGGGGGCCTCAATTTGTGTACCGCGGAGTGAGAACCAAGCCACGCCGGGGTCATCGCCTTCTGGCCTGCCTGCCACTATTTTAGCGAAGAATTCTTGGATCACCCGAGAAAGAAGTTAAGCTAGTGACTTGACGGGACGGGTGTCATAAGAAAGATCCCCTTCCGGGACCTCACAAAGGGTCACGGCCTATCAGAAGGGAGACGCAAACGTGCAGCTGACTTAAAAGTGCGTAGCTGAGGTTTAATTTCATATTCACTGAATCGTCTAGCAACGTAGACGCTGTGGTGCATTCTTGCGTGGAACGCACATCCAGTGTCTGAGTGACGCCCCGTCTGCTTGTGGATTTGTTGTTGCAGTTGGTTCTTTTGACCTTGTGGGAGTGATTGCAAGTGGTCTCTCATCAATTGCTGTTCGTTGTGTTGACTCCCGCGGCCATACTTATTCATCGCGGGCCTCCTTTTTGCAAAGTGACCCTAAAAGGGTGCTAGCAAATGTCCCAAAATGGTTCCTTCGGATGGTAGCCACATGCTTGTCCTTTGGCTGTCAGCTGGACATGCCATCCAATGGCCCCCTGAAATGCCTTGGGGGGGGGGGGAGGCGGGGGGGCGCACGGGAGGCGGGAGGCGGGGGGAGGGGGAGATGGGATGTCGGACGGGATCACCAGGTCAGGTGCACGCCACCGCCATGCTGCTGGTGAAGAAAGGCCATCTCAAGGTGGACGAGGCCCTTCGCTCGCCCGGTTCCGGGTTCCCGGTTCCGCTTGGGAAGGCCCGGCTTCCACGCCAGCAGCAAGCATCCACTTGTTCCGATCCGTTCAGAGAATCAGTGTTGGATGGGTGGTTCCACTCAACGTCAATCCCTTTCAGAAGGCCATCTTCACGTGGCCAGCAACAGGTATGGACTTGTTTGGCCGATCCATTGAGAAAAAAAATAAGTCTTGGGTGGGTTTGAAGGGAAACCAGGAATTGCACCAAACATGTTTCGGGATCGATCCCGCCAGGTTTGGTGGGTTCGAGTCGAAACCTTTCTTGTTTGGTGGGGCATTTTCGCCGGACATCATTTTCCTATATCCTAGCCATCAGCAGCTTGCAAATGAGATTATGAAAGTAGATATTAAGGTAGAAAGTGAGGGAAGTGAGGGAAGTGAGCGGACGGAGAGTGAGAAATGCATGAGAGAGGTAACAGATGTTTGAGCAGGTTCCCAAGACATAGCCAAAGAATGCTGAGGGGAATGAAGCTCCACCTGGGCTCCTTCTTTCGCCACCCACTCATCCAAGTTTCACCCCTGAAGCAGCTCCCAGCACCCAAGGGCTTTAGCTGTAACGGGCCCTCCATTGATAAAACGCTGGGCAGGCCAGTGGCCAGATTCGTCGAAAACAAACAGTTTGGACTTGTTTTGACCAATTCACTCAGCGCTGACGCTCCTGCTTCTACTCAGGGAAGGAAGCGTGCATAAGCAACTGACAAGATTATGGTTTGCGGATGACAAGGGGGCACAACCAGCAAGGACCAGGGGACAACAGCCCGACTTTTGCCACAAGAGCCAGAGGGACAATGACAACCCAAGTCCCCCAAAAGATCCAGGCGGCAAACCCAAAAATCAGATGACTGCCAGGTACGACGCGGCATAGAGTTTCTGGAGCCCGACTTCTATGCAAGCGCATCCTACTACGAGAAGTGGCTGGGGCCGAGGACGAGAGGGGTCGGAGTGCTGCATCACATCCCCAAAGTGGCAGCACGGTTAACCGTTTCACTTGCGCCTGGTTTTAGAAACTATATGTGATTTCATCTTTGCATTGCTCCTACAGAATCTCTACAGTATATCAACGGTTTTGCGTATTGAGGGATCGTCATTGAACTCCCAGTTTCCACCGTACCGGCCAGGTTGTAGAGATGCCATACTATGCCGTTCCACGCCACGCATGAAATCTCAAGGGGGGATGCATGTGTGCTGGGTCTAGCGCAGTTTATAGCATCAATTCAGATTAGGACCGCACATGCCAGCGCCATTTGCCAATTGGTACTTGTATGTGTGTAACAAGAAGCCTCAGGAGTTGTCTAGCATAAAACCTATAATTTGCCCAGCATGTTCTGGCATGTATCTAAACAAGTGTCCAGCGCTTGGGCATGTCCCGCTCGATTCCAGATCATGGCTAGCAAATGTCAAGCCCAGTCTTGGAGGTGGTTAGACGTAGTTTGTTACAGCGCATGCCAAGCTTCAAGATCTAACATGTGTCTAGAAACTGTTTATGCTCATTGTGTCTAGAGTGCGTTTTAGCTTAATGTTGACCCCACACTAATCCCAGGTTACTAGTAGGTGTGTTCCCCTCCAAAAGTGGCCTGATTCCCCGCCATTTCACCCAGAATCGGACACCCTCCGTAGACTGGCTGGTTGCTGGTATGTGGGGTCGGCATGCGGTGTAGCCCTTCTTTTGCCCAGAGTTCCTCACGAGAGCTGGTGGCCGATATGGCCGATATGGCTGGTAACATCCCTACTTGGATTTGTTCGATTCGCCAGTGGTGATCGCCAGCTGAGGTACCTGAGTGAGTTGGGCCGGGTGTAAGTAGGTTAGAACCCGGATTGCTAACCACCGAGTAGACAAGGCCTAGTCCAACCCAGCCGTGTCCTGCGCGCATGTTGGAGTGAGCTCTTCCATGGACATATTGGATGTTGCTTTTTCCATGGACATATTTGATGTTTCTTTGGAGGCATTGTGATCTTGGGCAAGTTGCCAGAAATCCCACACATAAGGGAACCCCCAACTCAAGACCTATACCATGGATGAGCTCATGTGAGCTCGTTTTTACCCGCAGGTCAATTCGTACTTGGTCGATGGTGGCCCCCGTTTGGTTTGAATTAGGGAGGCCAAACGGAAAGCGACCATTTTGTGGGGCTCCCTGTTTTGACTTCCGAGGGAATCCTTCATCCTTACGCAAGGAACCCGGCCCCTTCGCAGCGGCTTCCCCTTGTCGGGGTTCTGGAAACTCGGATTGGCTTTTGGCCAACCCATTTTGAACCGCCCAGTTTGAGAGAATTGGGAAACCACGACCATTTTAGGTCCCTGTTTTGAGAAACCGTGGGTCAAAAATGGATACCCCAAATGGAACCCTGGTAAATGGAAACATGGACTAAACCCTGGGGTCCATATCCTGGTGGTTTAATTTTGACCCATGCCCAGATGACTCAGGTGGGCGTGTTCCATTTGCAACGCCCTGCTGGAGCATCAGCTCTTGGGCCACACTGAGCTGGGCATTGAGCTGGGCCCCGAGGAGGATGCCACGCAGAGGCGCCACGCGGCCCATGGGTCGAAACGACGCGCGGGCGGAGAGCGAGCGCGGAGCGAGCTGCGGGTAACCAGACCGAAAAAATGAGGGGGAAAAGGGCCTTGACTGCTTCGAACCCAGGGTTCAGCCCGTTTTTGTTGGTTCATTTCCCTTTTGAGGAATTGAAGACAAGACACAGAAGTCGTCGGGTGGTCGTGGAATGAGATTTGCACAGATTCTGAGTGGCGCTGTCTCACGATTTGGCATGGGGGTCCATAGCTTACATGCCTGGGATTCTCGTAGTTCTAGAGGCCACTTGGAAGCATGGATCTCTCGAGCGAGCCCTGATCTCCCGTTCAGTGTTCACCCCGTTTTTGCGTGCTAGCGGGTCAAAGCATGCGTGGGGTGGAATTGCGCATTACCGCATCACGTCGCATTACCCTGCTCCTTTCTTCAAAAAGACACAACCGGGCAGAGCTGCGAAGAATGAATCGTCGTGTCTTTTTGAAGAGAGGAACGGGGTACGCTCCCTTAGGCGAATTTGCAAGTTCTCAGCTCACCCTCGGGGAGCCTGCCCAGCACGAAGGTCCCTTTCTTGGAGATTCCTCATTTCCGGCGTTGTAATTTACCCAGGCAACAAGTATGCTGTTTCCCTAAAACTAAGCATCCCAGAAAATGGGACACCCTCTATTATTCGACTAGGGCGTTCATCCTGGTTTTCCATTGGACTTTGATTTTTTATTTGCCACCGGCATGATTCTAGGAGGAGCTTTCATGTCATTATTTGGACCTCTTTTTAAAAGAAAACCCTTGAAAACCCAGGGGGAAACAACCGGATACAGGGGACAAGTAGCCCGCTCCAAAGCGACGCAGGTTGGAGACAACCGGTGTGTGAAAGAAGGATGGCTGAAAATGGAAAAGGAATCAAACCCAAGACTTTTGGTTTCCCATGTTGGTCCACAAAAATAATGGTCAACAGGTCCCATAAACGTGGGCTGTTTAACCTGCTTGGCCTGGAGGAACCACTCAAAAACACGGGGGAAACAACCGGCTGGAGAAAAGAAGGATGGTTGAGCATGGAAAAGGAAACAACCCCAAGGATGATGTATGAACTGGTTGGCCTTGAAAAGAAGCATGGTTGAACAATAATGAGGGATGATGTTGAGACAGGATGATGGGCAAAAGAAAAGAAGGATGATGTTGAGAAAAGAATGGGCGGAAGAAATCCACCGGAAGGTTCAGTCCTGGGGACCTGGTCCGAGTGCGGCCCAGCAGTGCGGCAGTACGCTGGCGGCGCCCGCACCTGCGCACCCCGGGCTTCGTGCATGGCGTATGTGCCGCGGCTTTGAAGCGGGGGACCCGTTTCTGGGGAAGCGGTTTCTATGGGAAGCCAAAAGGGAATGTGTTGTTTTTTTCATTTTTTTTCCAGACTCGCTTTGGCACCCAAATTTCCAGTTTAGGGAATGGAGTGAGGACTTGCCATGCTTTTTTTGGCTCGCATGGACCTTGAACAAGGGATCTCCCTCGAGAAGCTTTGTCCTTGAGGTGCATTGCCCCCGGTTGGTTTCAGGGGAAATGGTGATGAGAGGTTTTGGTGGCTGGCACTTGAAGCAAATGGAGGTGAAGCAAGATGCTTCAGGTTTCCACTGACAAGAGTGGAAGGAAATAATTCGCTCAATTACAGCCTACTGCGGAATCAGAATACCTTGGCTAGTGACTGGGCGCATTAAAGTAAACATGTCAGTTGTGGTTTCCCTTCAAGCCGCCATTTGGATGATAGTATTGAGAATGCACATTTAATGGACCCAGGCTGAGGTTGTTTCAAGGTGGCTATGCGGCCAACAAGCATGGAACTTACTCTTGAACTGGGCCTGCCTCCTTTCAAGTTTGCTTTTCAACTGGCTTCCTACAATAGAATCAGATGTCTGCACATGTTCCCGTTTACAAGGATCAACAATTGCACTGTCGGGTGTCCACGCAAACGGGGCTCCAATTTGCATGGCGCAGTGGTTTGATTGGGTGAACTGCAAAGGCCCTCATTCAAAGAGGAAACTCCTTTGGGCCTTGTGGCATTCTATGCAGGCCGACCTCCCCCCCCTCCCCTCCCCTCCCCTCCCCTCCCCTCCTCCCCCCCTCCCCTCCCCCTCCCCTCCCCCTCCCTCCCCTCCCCCCTCCCCTCCCTCCCTCCCTTCCTCCCTCCCCCACCGCTGAGCAATGTTTAAAGGGGGGCATACCCTTTATTCGGGGTCTTTCCCATACATGTTCTGCACAGATGGTGTATGGAGAGGGGTTTGCTCCTACTTTGTTCTCAGTTCTTCGGCACCCAGTTTGCCTTTGTTCTTTCGGTGGGTGTTTTCTCTTGACCGTCCACACCGAAAGTTGCATTTCGTTGCCTAGGACACGGGTCGGGGATGGGAGCTTGTATTTGCTTCAGAACACTTGTACTTTCCCTTGTTGGTGTTATAGGGAATCCATCTCACTACTGGATATATGTTCATTTTTCCAGGGGGCTCTACAGCAACTGGAAGAATTCGAAAGATTTCTAAAGGAGCATTTTTGGTTACCTTAAGCATTTGCAAATGGACCCGGGCCTCACATCCCATTGCTTGGCCCATCGCAGGCGGGGTGGTGGAGCG